CGAGACTGAACGTGGAGATCATCCATGAGATTGATCAGACGGAATTCTACCGGGGCGACGAGCAGAAGGTAGGGAAAATGTATCTGTACCGATCGTTAGTCGGGGCGAGGAAAGATGCACCCAAGTTTGTGTGGACAGTGTAGGTTTTGAAGGCTTCTGAATGACTTTGGTACTTTTTTTTGTTCCTTCTTTAGGGCTCTACTGACTAGTGGGATTTTTATTTTAGGTAAATGAGTTTTAGTTCGTATTTATGTTATTGTAATTATTGGGAGTTTTTTCTTTTCAATTTTTAGTCTGCATTTGATGTTATAGACAGGTTTGGCAATTCCAGTTTTTCTCAAAAAGGTTTCTTTACCTTCTCAATTTTATTTTAAGTATTATATATTTTTAACATTCCTCGACGAACGAATGCAATACATGGAAGGCTTATGGATGTGGTACAGCTTTACCAACTTTTCATACTAGGCGGCTATGGAGTCTTTCGTTCTCTGAGAGCGTGTGCACTTTGATGGCTTGCATCGCCTATGGCCAAGCGACAATGTTCGAGCCTCTAGCTCCGATTCAAGAAAATTTTAGAAAATAGGGCAGAGAGATTTTAAAAGAAAGTTTTGAAATCAAGATTTAAGAAAAAAGATTTTTGCTTTTTCTCCAAGTTATACCATATCAAAATCCAAGTAATACCATCTCTAATGTGAGATTTCAATTTGGACCAATTCTTCGAGGATCTCCCATAGGGCTATCGTTTCTCCTAAATGCAGGATTCCTTTTTCTGTACATACCCATATTGGATTTAGGAGCTCCCTCGAGCTCCCTCCGGGTAAAAGCATATTAATGAAAGATTCAACTTCTAACTACTCATACACGAAGGACCTCAGTTGTCTTGCTAGGTGTCACTATGGTTTCTAAAACATTAACAATAGACCTATCGGGAACATATTCACTACCAGGCATTGACATCTTAATGCATTACTATCTAGACAATGATCGGGAAAAGCAGGCTGCCCTCGGCCCGATCATCCTCATATTTGTAGCTTCCACATTCCAATTCCAAAACCATCAAAGATTCCACATAAAATTTACTTGTGTAAACCATTATTTATTTAGGTATTGTATACATACATGTAAATGAGAGCCTTTAGGTATCAAACAACACAGAAAGTGTACACAAACACACAACAACCCTGAAAACTACAGATCTTATTTCAAGCGACTCGAAAACCGGCACTGCTTCATAATCATAGACACGAACACTGCACGGCCAAGCAAACCGAACAACACCGATTTCGCAACGTTTATCGGAAACAGGCCAAGCACTCCTCCAACATACAACAACAACACAGTGTAGCTAAACTGCAAAACGGAGGAGGAAAATGGCATATAATAAGCTCTGCTAAGAAAATCAAGTTCTACACAAAATGACAACGAGTAGGAAACCGACAAAACACACTCGAAGGAGAGCGGGTTTCTTCGGCCATCTCATGCACGAGAACATTTATAAATTATAAATTTATTGAACTTGTTCGCTACTTATGTAATAAATCAAAAAACGGTTCTAATAAACTGGGAAAAATTGAAACAGAAAATAGGGATCTTTGATGGACAGGACCAAGAATCATTAACTAATAAACGCATACTATGGTTAGATGAAGGAGAGTTAGATCTAACCATATCCCACACCTCGACCTCTCAAACACTCAAAAAATTCTATTGTTTCTCTCGAGCCAAATACCGGACCATAAAAACCAATAAAACAAGCGTTCCAAATGACTCTATCCCAAACTTGAAAGGGTGGATTCAAAAGAACTTCTTAGTTCCTCCACCATAGAACAACAATCTCGTTTACGTTCCAAGAAAACCCGGAAGCGAGAACAAGAACAAGATTGTTAAGGTCTTCCATCCATAACTTAACTAAAAAACCGTCCAATTCCCTCTCAAACACACGAAAAATTCTACTGTTCCTCTCGAGCCAAGTACCAAACCATAAAAACCTATAAAACAAGTGTCCAAATGACTCTATACCGAACTCGAAAGGGAGGATTCAAAAGAACCTCCTAGTTCCTCCACCATAGAACAACAATCTCATTTACGTTCCAAGAAAATCCCGAAAGCGAGAACGGGAACAAGATGGTTAAGTTCTTCCATCCATAACTTAACTAAAAGACCATCCAATTCCCTCTCAAACACTCGAAAAATTCTACTATTCCTCTCGAGCCAAATACCGAACCATAAAAACCAATAAAACAAGTACGCCAAACGACTCTATCCCAAACTCGAATCAAAAGAACTTCCTAGTTCCTCCACCTAGAATGACAATCTCTTCTACGTTCCAAGAAAATCCCGAAAACAAGAACAAGAACAAGATTGTTAAGTTCTTCCATCCATAACTAAACTAAAAAACCATCCAATTCATCAATTTACCTTCCTCCTTTTCTTCCTGAACAAAGAAAAATGCAGCTTAGTTCATGATAGCAAGAACAATAAAGCATTGGTTCAAAATTTCCCCTTCGAACAAATTAGAAATGTTAAATTAAATCAATTGATGCTTAAATTGATCTAACAATCATTTTACACAAAACAGATCGAATTCCTAAACTAAAAATCGACATAATTCCACAAACATTCATCTCTTCAAATCCAATCAATTTACACAAAACAGAATCAATCAATGAATCAAGAAAACGATCATCCGCAGAGTAATAACCATAAAGAAATTAAAGAAAAAAGGGGGGAAAACGAACCATCCACGAAGGAAGGAGGAGCATTCATCTCGATCGTCGTAGTGATAGTGCTGATGATGATAAGGCGGTGGAGGAGGGCCGGGCGGTGGAGGCGGAAGCGGTGCGGATGGTTGATAGCCATCGTAGAAATAGTCTTGATAGCCTTGATGTGGCGGCGGAGGATTGCCGGGATAACCAGGCTGCGGCGGAGGGTATCCTACAAAGAGAAGAAAGAATGAGATGGAATGAAAATGGAAGAAGGGAAATCAGAAAGAAGAAGGGATCTCACCGGGAGGAGGGTAGGTTTCAGGCGGCGTATGGTGGTGGCTGTAAGGGTAGCTCATAATTTCCCTCAAAATGGAAATGGACGACGGAGGAAATTGAAGGAAGAAGAAGAAGAAGAAGAAGAAGAAGAAGAAGAAGAAGCGAATAGAAATTTCGTTTATAAATTAATTATAAATAAAAAAGTTCGAATTTATTGAACAATAATTTATTTCATATAAACTTAATTTTTAAAAATTATAATTAGCAATTCTAAATCGAGACTTAATTATTAAGCAATATTATATATTGTAATCATTTTTTTATTCACTCTTTTCTATTTTATTGGATAGACCACTACCAGTAGATATTGTCTGTTTTGCCTGTTTCATATTTTATTGCATAGCCTCAACCTTGTTTCAGATTTTATTGCTTTATTGCATAGCCTCTTTTACGAGAAATCAAACCCATCGTAGACTTTCATAAGAGATCAGACCCACCGCTAGTAGATATTGTGTTAGCCCTATTACACCTCTTTTATAAAAGATACACACTATTAGTAGATATTGTCTTAATCCATTACCCATCTTTCGTTAGAGATCAGACAAAATTGAAGAAGAAGAAGAAAGAAGAAGCCAATAGAAATTTCATTTTTGGATATTTACAAAAAAAAAAAAAAAAAAAAAAAAAAAAAAAAAAAAAAAAAAAAAAAAAAAAAAA